GTGTGTGTGTGTGTGTGTGTGTGTGTGTGTGTGCGTGCGTGCGTGCGTGCGTGCGTGCGTGCGTGCGTGCGTGCGTGCGTGCGTGCGTGCGTACGTACGTACGTACGTACGTACGTACGTATGCATGCATGCATGTATGCATGTATGTATGCATGTTATGTATGTGTTGCATGTTCTTTGTATGCATTATGTGCTTGACATTATAGTTAAATGACGCGTGATGTTTAGATGATATTAATTCGATGTTCAGAATAAACAGTTATATTGCAATCATAAACAGGGCGCGTTTTTGTTCTACATCAATACGCGGTGTTCAATGCATTGATTTCTATCCTCTTTACTAATTTGCAGGCGAGCCTATATATATAGAACCTGAATTCTACAAGTGAGACGAGACTGTCTTCGAAGCAAAACATGTGGTCGTAACTTGAACGCCAGACAGGGTAGACATATCTGACGTGTGTGACCAATACGTGGCAGCTTTCCCCGAAGCACGATGGACTACGTGAGAATTAATTCCGTAGAAAATCTATATGAGTGCGATCTGTGTGATGCTGCATTCTCACAATCGTGTCGGATGAAGAGACACATGAGAACTCACACGGGAGAGAAACCATACAAGTGCGATCTGTGTGATGCTACCTTTGCACGCTCGGATAACCTGAAGACACACACAAGAACTCACACGGGAGAGAAACCGTACAAGTGCGATCTGTGTGATGCTACCTTTGCACAATCGAGTAATCTGAAGACACACATAAGAACTCACACTCAAGAGAAACCGTACAAGTGCGAACTGTGTGATGCTGCCTTCTCACAATCGTGTTCTGTGAAGATACACATGAGAACTCACACGGGGGAGAAACCATATAAGTGCGATATCTGTGATGCTACCTTCTCCCGTTTGGATCATGTGAAGACACACCTGAGAACTCACACTCAAGAGAAACCATATAAGTGCGATCGCTGTGATGCTACCTTCTCCCGTCTGGATAGTGTGAAGACACACCTGAGAACTCACAGTCAAGAGAAAAGATATAAGTGCAAGCGGTGTGATGTTGCCTTTCCACAATCGGGTACTCTGAAGACACACATGAAAACCCACACGGGAGAGAAACCGTTTAAGTGCGATCTGTGTGATGCTACCTTTGCACAATCGGCTCATTTGAAGACACACATGAGAACTCACACGGGAGAGAAACCGTACAAGTGCGAACTGTGTGATGCTGCCTTCTCACATTCGTGTTCTTTGAAGACACACATGAGAACCCACACGGGAGAGAAACCGTACAAGTGCGATCTGTGTGATGCTGCTTTCACATTATCGGATAATCTGAAGACACACATGAGAACTCACACGGGAGAAAAAACGAAGAAGAAGAATACGAAAGAAAAAATCAATTAAATGTAACATTTGAATTGAAGAGTTAGCTCTATAATCACACATGGCAATGCATAATAACTCTATGGAGATGTCGTACAGATGTAAGCAGAAAGTACATCTCGAACTGTCAGACTCACATGTAAGATCAGCTTGGCTCTGTGAACAAGCGAGCACACTGCAAACATGTGAACTGGAGCAGTGCGGAATACCAACTAATGCAACTCAACTTTTCCAAAGTGGAAGCTGGACTAGGAATTAATTAAAAAAGTCTTCAAATCTTTAAGGTATACAACCGGACTGTGTTATGTTTGTGATTTTTTTGGTGTTTTGAATCTATACCTAACCTGTGGCCATGAAAACTCTTTGTAACCTTTTGTAAGTAACTGTACGTTTGAACACTGATCTAATAAAACTCATTATGATTAATAATATCAATGTCTACCGTCAAATTCAAAACCCTGTGTTACAGGTTGGTATTATTGATCATGTATACATAGATATGAGTACAGTAGTATCAGGGGTTAATAATGGCTAACATTTGTCATTATTAACTCCTGGTAGTATGTATGTGTATGTGTGCGTATATGCATGCATATATATTTATATGCACATAGTAGTGATGAACATTGCAATTGTAAATAAATCATATATGCCTCACTTCTTCTAGGTTTCAAAACCTGGATTTTTTACCAGGCATACAGGAGACCATAATAGATCTGTTTGCAGTAAAATTAAACTTCTTCTACTCCAACTGTTTGGATTAGATCGGTTGCTGAAGAGATTCGATCGTGTGTCACGACTAAGTTTTTGAGTTTTTAGTCAAGATGCTAGAAAAATTCACACAGTGACCCATAACAGGTTGTAAATTCAAGGTCAAAATTTAAAAACACAAGCGAGCAGTGTATCACTGTATGTAAACGAGCTCTCTGCGCACATTACATGTAAGTTATAGAGAGCATTT